AAATCTGACTGCAAGCAGATGAAATATTGGATGGTAAGATCAAACTAATATAAATAGCTATAGACAAAAGAATCTTCACAAGTCTATTATAATAACATAGCTAATGAAACTGTTCCTTTGAATATTTTCAAAATAGCATGACAGACCAATTTTACCATTTCTGTAATCATTGAAATAAATTCTGATCATCTTCGGATGGTTTTGTTTGATTTAAAATGTCCAAATGAGACCTTTTGGTGACATCGGGTCTATAATACATTGTAGCTTTTAAAAACAGACACTGCTTAGCAAAGAAAAAAAATTAATTTAACCACAGTGTATATCCCAGCTAAGCAACTGTTGAAAATGGCAACTGCTCGGAGTAAGCGGTACAGCACCACCCAAGACCACGACAGGCCTCCTTTGTCACATTTTTGTTTACGTTGACTGCATTCGCCAACCAGATCCATACTTTGCCAAAAATCTGTGATGTTATTTACCCCAACGATCGATAATTATATGCGAGATCAAAAGAATTGTTGTTGTTTTTTTTTTTTTTGAGCAATTGCAGGGTTTCAACGCGCCGAGTTTATCCAAAAGCTTCAGAGGAGCTCGGAGAACTCGCAGCTCTGTCTTTGACATGTATCTTGCAGGGCAGAGACTGAAGAGAGGCGAGTCTCCAGCATCTTCTGAAACTTTAGGTAGGAATGGCAGAAACATCAAGCCATTTTGAACAAACCGAACACATTGTTTTCTTCTGTGATTTAATTCCATTCGTTTGCTTAATAAAAGCATCTTTCAATTAAGCAACGTACATCTTTACATAAGAAATAATAATCATTTTATTACACAACGCTGTCGACGAAGTTTAGGTGTGGATTATCATCAAAGAAATCGCACGAACTTTCGGTTCCCTGATATATACATGCTCCATTGAACTTACAGTTGCCGAACAATTACCCAAATCAATTGTAAATATACATATAAGAGGAGTCGATGAATATCGTTCTCAGGAAGTTGTTAGAAAACATATATCCTTGAGGGTCTATTTGGTCGCGGACTTTGAGGAACTCCAATTGACACTGGCGGTTTTCAGGGTCATGTAATCGCTGTCGAAGACCCGGGAAAGTGGTCAGCATCTTAGCCCAGTTAGGAAGACCAGAAAGTCCCACCTGGTTAAGCTGAGAGAGCACCTGCGATTAAATAGTTTAAACGCGTCTTTATTATGCACTACATATACGAAATCAACTGCAATGTTTGGAGGCTTAATTATTTGTGCCTCTTTGCATTTGCTCTTTTGGTACCGAAATAACAAGTTTTATGTATGTAGCTACTCTCTACCACAGGGATTTTATAACTGTTTCAAATTTGTATATCAGATCTTATACAATTAAAACATAACCATTATGAAATAAATCAAAGGAATAAAGCCATCTATCCTGCACTGTTCATTCCTCTTTTAACTCTAAATCAAAGACAATATGAAGGTACGTAGGTACAATATAATAGGTGCGCTTTGAGTACTGACTGGGTTATCTGACATTTTAAACACATGGCGGATGATAACGCAATACATACGGCGGTAGTAAATTGCTTATAGCCTTCAAACGCCTCAGTCGGTTGTACCAGACCCTGTATTTCCATGGTCAGGTAGTGAGAGTCGCTGGGAAATCCACACACATCTTCCTTACCAGGACAGAGAAAACAGTCTGTGCCTTTGATCCAGCGCATTTCTACGATCCCTAGAGGCAGGATGCCATTGGCGTAGGAAGCGCCCTCTATTGAAGCGGCAACTACCTAAAACCAAAAAGTTTGGAAATTTCCTTATGCATGAATCACAGGCATCGACTTAATGGTACATACATGTACATATTGAGTATTTCAGCGCAAAACGACTTGAAAAGTTCCTTGGTAGAGATTTTGTTTACAGCATTTAGGGTCTCCCAAATATACTGTGTTGGATGTGCTGAAACACGACTACCACTCATTGTGTTAGATATGCCAATATGTTAGAATCAAGTTGTTTTCCACGTTTGACAAAGTGTGTTTTGTATATTTGAGTATGGACGTGGTCTATATCTGATATATTACACATAACATCACATCTAAAACATGACCATTGCGTACAATACACATGGGCAAAATATAAGCATATAATATTCAAAAGTCGTCCAACTCGAAGGTTGTATTTATTTCCAATGTTTTAAAATATAAAAGTGTGCCAAATAAACGTTTCCAATAAAGTTANGGCAACATATAAGCATATAATATTCAAAAGTCGTCCAACTCTCAGGTTGTATTTATTTCCAATGTTTTAAAATATAAAAGTGTGCCAAATAAATGTTTCCAATAAAGTTACTTGTCTGGTTTACGCCGTCGAGACCACTTTGAAAATTATAAAAAACTATAACAAATGACAATTATTCAACAAAAGCTGAGCACTATCTTCCAACCGTTAGCTTGGTATACATGTATATGGGCGTAGGCCTGTAGGAAGCCGATGTTCAGCTGGTGTTGAATAGTTGTTTTCTGTAATGCTATTACCAAGCTAATGGACATATTTGCTTATAAATAAGTTTCTCCCTGCCTGCCCCTTCCTAGATATGTAAACATATTAAAACTTAGAAATCGTGTGAGATTCCGTCGTTTGGTTGAACTCAATTCACTCCAGCTTTCCCATACATACACGCACCGCCGCCTCCCACGGTTAGATGGAAACTTACCAACTGCTTTCACAATAATTGCATCAATTTCTAAAACTAAAAGATAATTTATTAACTGTACGAACCTGAAAGGCTGATACCGTACTTGTGAAAGAAGGGTTTTCTCTGATGGTTGTTTCCGTGGCAGTCACGGTTGGAATGGCGCTAGCATTCAGGCCGTGAATGGCGAAAGGCTTTGGGACAACAACTGGATTAGCGATAAATCTTCTAGTCGCGAGGGCAGCAAATATGCGCTGGAAATAAAATATGGTTTGAAAAAAGTAACTCGACAAATTGAAATGTGCATCTACTTCATTTGTAATTATGCACTTGCAAGCTTTTTTCAAAGGTACCTTTTAAGATTTGACGAATAGGGCACACTATACGACATATTTTCAGAATTAGGTTATTATATCATAATATCTTCAATTGAGCAATTTATCAACTTATAGAATATCTTCGGTCTTAAGACATACAGTTTATGCTAACATCACACTAATACATGGACCTACCGTTAGAATTATTTACTACAAATCGGATAAACTTTTATCGCCTTCCTAAAAGGGCGCTCTCTTACCTTCAGTGCTCGTTTTTTGTCCACTTTTAGGTAAAGGGTGGGGGTGAGAAACGTTTCAAAAAGAAGACGAATTGGCCACTATATAGGCTATACTAGTACGGTTATACCAGAGTACTTTTGATGTGAAGAAAACATCTACAATTGAAAGATCGTTGTCGGAACAGACATTTCTATCGCTTCATAACTTGCAGCTCACCTGCCCGAATGAAATAGGTGTCACATTCAGGTCAAAGTTTACGTCAAAGTCAAGGTCAAGGTCAGGCTCCGTTCCATTCGGATTGATAAAACTATCAATAATAAAGAACACGTAAGAATGAACAAATATGTTCACTTTACTGTTAAATCTTATTTTTCACAAGTATAAGGAAAAAGTTAAACGGAATACACAATTACTAGTATTAAAGAAAAATGTTCATTCTTAACAGTAAAATCACTAACAGATAAACAAGGTAGTGCATTTTGATGGTTATCATCCAAAGGTATAAAAGTGTTCCTTTAATGTTTACCTCAGCCACACGAGATCTCGTTTACTGTTCCACGTGGTGGGTACCCTTCCAGTGGCCATAGTCTCTTGGACTTCCTCTTCCGTTAAGGAATTGTAAGTCGCCCAGCGTGCCTCCACGTAGAAATTGCGCGTTACAATTTCCTTAACAAAAGTGGCATTGAGCATAAGACTGAGGGGGACGAATACCGTGAAGAGTGACACCATTTGGACTGGTTCCACCTAGCGGACATAAAGAGAATATTTTAAAGTTATTACATGACGAATTAACTGTATACAATGGAGACAAAACATAACAAAACCTTCAACGGTCAGGGGAATCCGAATACAATGAGTATTATAATGATATGTAGGCTTACTCGCTACTAGTACACACACACACACAAAAAAAAAAAAAAAATACCCAACACCTGATTGATCTGTTGAAGTTTTAAAGATACATGCACGTTTTTACCATCATTTCTACTTCGACAATGACCCCAAGGAGACCAAGATGACATCGCATGGCGCGCAGGACATTCCGATTCTCAGAAGCCGTAAATTGTCGAAGTCTGCCGTAAGAATCGAAGACTTGTACGGACTCGAGATAGCCACCCAGACTTGGTTCGTCATAGCTTCCTCCCTACAAACATCACTGTGAATATAATGTCGTGTATTCATGCAATACAAACACATATTGCTAGGGTTTGAAAAGTTTACATGCAACAAACCAAGCGAGAAGGAAGAGTGTTTAATTTTTTTACCGCAAACCTAAAATTTTTTAGGTAGAAACTTACCGGTAGTATACATAGCAAGCAGAAACCTTACTATTTTGTCATTTATATTCTATATTTAGGCGATGTGCATGCAGACACAGAAAGAGCATTTTGCTTACGTGAGAAGCTGTTCCAATTCCTCCTGCTATAGTGACCTGTATCGGCTGCGGCCCACTGGCGATTGCATGACCTACGCTAAGTAGAAACGAGTCCAGCTCGTCCTGTCGCACTCCAGCCGCAACGGTCACTGTGGGATATGGTCTCTGAACTGTCTGTAAAAAAGACCTATAAGTATGCAGTCGCCTTTAAACAATTGTCCTCTTTTTGGTTTCACACCGGCATCTTATTTCTAAATCGTAAAATACACATATTACAATTATTTAAGTACACAAGTCTATTTAGCGCTTTGACAAATATATGCCTTCTTTAAATAAAAGAAAAACAATATTGTAATCAAATGTTTTAATAATACATGTGCCATTATTACAAGAATTGCATATTAGTAATGATTTTAATTGGGTAAAAGTACTGTATGTAAACTACCAGTATTAAAGTGAATGGATGTAAAATATGACGCACCGGAGGGTTGAAGATCGCCCGCTGTCCACCCTCCAGAGTGAGGAGAGTAAGGTTCAGTAGGATCTGTCCTTCATCTGGGAAGAGTGGCGACCAAGAAAGAGCCGACTCGCCAGCCTCACGGATTTTACGGTTTAAACTTATGGCGACATGCATCACTTTTTGCACCTGCAATGAATTTTTTTTATCGTCTTTTGACATTTCAGTAAATTGATGAATAATCAATTAGGAAAGTAAGTATAGGGAGATATATGGAAAGAGCATACGCATGTTACGGTTCTGTCCTGTGCCTCAAATCAAATCCGGTCCCTTGGTTCTAAATTGTTTCCAAGAGGCTCTGTTCTGGTCCTACACCTGTGAATGTCCATGTAGAGAGGGGGTTAGCAAGACTCACTTACTTCGGCATTACTTGTAGGTTTTATGACGAACACGTGGTCCCGTCTAACAATTGTCGCCCAGTTGACAAACGGTTCCAGTTGGACTTGTGGAGAGGATCCAAGGGCATCCTGCATGCATGTCTGTAACCTCTCTAAGTTCGGCAGGGTGGCTAGAATAAAGAAAAGAGCAGCAATGTTCAACACGATGTCCTTCATTTATCGCTTATACGATTTGCATCACACTGGTTATTTTTCTAAATGATATTTTAATTTCGATTGATTTCATGCCTCGTTTATTCATTAACATTGATTTACATTTAGACGAAAACCCGTGTCTTTTATGTATTGATCCGTCTCTTCTCATGGACAAAGATATCAATAATCGTTCTTCTGTAGGTGAAAGGGGCTAGCAATGCACAATCCCCTCCTTTAATCCCCCCTCCTCCAAAAATTGCTCATTTAAAGTGGGCGTGACCCTTGCGAAAATTATCTCATTTAACGCTCACTTGCGGTTCTCAATTTGTCCTAGAACATAATGTTTTTCTCTTCTAATGAGAAACATTTTTAATCTGTTCTAGGACATTTTGAAGGACTTCCCAAAAACAATTCTCGAACTGTTACATTCATTACAAAATAACATTAGAACTGTAAAAAAAAAAAAAATACACCAAATGTTCTAGAATACATTGAGAACCATAAGTGATCGTTAAATGAGACAAATTTCACAGGAGGTATCCTAGTTGGGGAGGGACATAGGTGGGTTGGTGCTTCAGCAGCCATCAAGTTCTCATCGTTAGTTTTGTTTAATAAAACAATTAGTCACAGTTTTAGTTAAAGTTACAACTGTATATAAAGTATATATATGCTGAGCGAAAATCACAATTCAGAAAAAAGGCAATTCCACCAAAGACTTATCGAAATATAATACACCAGTCAAGCACGTGTTTAACGATTGGGACACTACACCTACACGTTGATTTAATGCCGTATCATAAATTTCCTGAGGGTATCACTGCTGAGGGTATATAATATAACCCTCAAGCGCACTTACTAATAGATTCAATGCATGTTCAGCGTACAGCTTTGCTTTTGGTATTTACTTAATTTATTTCCTGTGCTACATAACAGTAAGTATACAGGTCTCTTGATTAATTTGTGTTGCTCAAGATATGTTATAATCCCAAAAACTTTTGATTGCAATTATTATTATAACGCTGACAGAAATTATAAATAGGCATTAACAGTGAGCATCACTACACAGCAATGGGCCAACAAAGTCCGAATTGTTTATATTGTGTGGTAAACATGATGTGATAAATGGATTCACAGCACTAAGGGTACCATGATCTTCCATCCATGCACGTAAATATCGAGCGTCATGTACATGTACACTGTACTAGTGCATCAATATTGATACCGGTGAAACGTGACAGAGTCACCCATAACAGAGAGTAAGCTTTCTACTCATTTGTACAAGTGAGCCTTGATAGATTTTGACCCATTTAGGTCAGACTAACCCTAACTATTATAACTATATGGAGGGCGGGCTTTCTGTTACAGGGACCTCCGTTTCGTTACAATCGGCCCTCCCAATCCCACCCACTTCTGTACGAGAGTGACGTCAGACCCGACTCCCACCACAACCTGTTTAATATGCGGTAAGATAGAAATGCAGGTGGACATTTGCACTGATTTATTCTATGTATAATCAATGAGCTATTGGTCGGACGTCTCATGCATATTTTCGTTAAGGGGACACATTGTAAAATAAACAATCTACGCGAGCACTTTCATAAGTTTCTTTACTCTTTCTATCTATCTATCTATCTATCTATCTGAATACGTATTCCGCCATAGTCCGCTGGCTAAATTTACAAGAAGGTGGTGGTTCTCTTGTTTTGTGGCATATTTATGAGCTTATTGCACGTCTATTAAAGCTTTTTAATGGCAAGGAATGCATTAACTGTCTGGTTAACTATACGCAGTTAGATCTAGATCTATATTGCCAGTTGCTAGAGATCTGGCTATTTTTATTTCTTTTTGTCGGAATTGTTGTACTGTTGTAGGTCTACGTCTCTTAAAGTTTCACTGATGCATTACGCAGCAAAAAACTATATTGTCACATCACCAAATTAGTTTTATGATATCATATACAGCATATATACATGCCAATTATAAATCTGTAATGCTGTATTACTAACACATATTTCTACGGAATGTTTATGTTCTCACACCGTATATAAAACTAATACTTGTCTATATACATATGTACAAGGAAAGAAAAGTTAAATAATGTTTGTACAATATTTCTTTTGAAACCCTATCAAAACGGGATCATAACTTGTTCTATGTTATTTTTAGTGAAAAATTCACACGCATGCCTCCGTTGTTTATGTGTTTTATTAATACAATGAAATAAATGTCACAATTAAACATCCTTTCCCGCGCTATAGAAATAAGTGTATTTAGGTCCGCATGACTCTTTTCTTTATACATTTTTGCGTCTTTATTCAATACAATCAAAATTTTCAGGACTTAACCACATAAGAGAAATAACTAAAGGAATTAAATGGTCGCTTTATTGATAAGTTACTTGACGAATGAATACCCCAGTGTGTTTTCTTATCTGATTCTTAAAAATTGTCGCTTGGCATGACATATACTATTACTGGTCTCTCTCTTTTATTTATTTATTTATTTATTTATTTATTTATTTATTTATTTATTATTTGGAAAATTCGATCTATAAAACAATGATTCAAACACCTGAGGTCACGCTAATAAGAGTCAAATTATAAAGTCAAAGGAAACAGAAATATTATATATACTTACGAGGACAAAGTGACCACCAAAAGCAGGTCCAGCTGACCAGGAATTGTTGTCCGAAATACATCCCCTTACTATACTAGTTAACCTCAAAAACAACACAAATTAAATGATATTTTTTTAAGTTCGAAAACAAAGTAAGATGGTTCCTCGATGAAGCGACTCCTGTAATTCACGAGCACTTTTTCTGGCTGCATATCTTTTGGAGGTCACCATTAATAAGACCACTCACTGTTTAACATTTTTGACCACGGAATCCCCGCTACCCAGCCAACTGAACTTTAAACGACCATATTAGGCGACTGTAGGTTAAATGTCAACTCCCCACAGAATATGCAGCTATTAAACAGGTATTAACGACGGGAAATCAAGAGAGATGAATCACACTACTATAGTGGCTCCCCGTGGCGATGGTGGTATCAAATCCACACCTTGGGGCTTTATTTATTAGGCATATCTGTTTTATGTATGTTTGATATCGGCCGTTATTTGTTGCTGTGCATGGCAAAACACACCGGTACGAATGTGTATTTCACATGCCAGTACAATGTAGAGCAGTATAGTTTCATTAAAGCGATCACGACCTAAGGACAACATCTAATAAACCACGTCTGTCATAATCTGTAGACAGGTGGACGAGTTTAAATATGAAACCCTTTACGTGCTATTTAAATTGATGTAATATTATATAAATTTTTGTCTCAATGTAACTTATTGATTTGTATTGTATTGTATTGTATAATATTGTATTGTGTTGTGTTGTATTGTATTTCATCAAATATACTTTGTATTCATAATACGAGCTCGGGTGCATGTAATAGGCCTACTGATAGAACCTAGTATTGCAAGATGCCGATCAAACTTTTCATTTGTCTTGTAGGACCATGTACTTTAAAGCCTTTATTTACTCTGGTTTTTTATATTCATTTTTATCTTTTTAACATTTTTCGTAATTCATAGGCTTCATAGGCTTCAAAATGGTGTTGAATATAGTGTGTGTGTGTGGGGGGGTATATCTTTCAATTACGACTCATTTGCGTAGTTGAATAAGTTGCAAACAAAATTATGGGTAAGTGAATAAAATTCACACGACACAGGGTTTACCCACAACTTCTACTTACCATAGTATCCCTACCCATTAATAGAAATGATACGGGCAATTTAGTTTTTCATGTGCACCGGTACATTAGTATAAATTAAATTTTTATTCAAACCGCGGTTTTTATGTGATGTTAATGTGGCACATCCGAAGGACATGAAATTCATTCAAGAAATATATGATTTTTTTAAAGCTACATAAAAAATTGATTTAAACATTTGTGGTAGCTACAATATTTCAATGAAGTATTTCACACCCAATATTTTCCAGGAGTCTCCAGGATTCAGAATGAATCTCCCGGTCTCCCGTACGTGTAACCAAATCTCCCAGATGCATGTGAAAGCGGCTTTGAAAATTTGCACTACTGTCAGCTTCATAATTAGGCCTATCTATCTTTTTTTTTTTTTTTTTTTTTTTTTTCATTAGGGTGACTACACTCATTCGAGTGTCCCACAGATTATCTTTGGCATCATTCCACTGATTGCTGGGGGTCTGGCCCTGTTGCTCCCCGAGACTAACAATGTACCTATGCCAGAAAACCTGGAGCAGGGAGAGCAGTTTGGACTGCCTGGCTTCTATGAGTATGTGCCTTTATGAGAAATTCATTTGTAATAAACACTATGTTCATTAGTGTGACAGTTAAGATAGTGGTGGCATTTTAACTTTATTAACTTGGGCTTTTTACAGTATTTTTAAGCAGCAGGTAATAAGTAGTTTACTTGCAGCAATACCATTTCTGAAGTAAAAAGACCATGTTTTAATTATTAACCACATCTTCCTAAACATCTTTAACATTATTTGATACTGTATTGGTTATCAATAAAGAAAAGAAGAGAGTTTTACAAACTGAATAACCTTAATTTTAAAATTCCTCTCTGGCATGTATTAAATGAAAATCCCCTCATTGTTTTCAGATTTTGATAAATTGACACATTTATTATTGAAATCTCTTTTTGCTGCTTAAAATACCTGTATGATGAAGCCACATTTAGTTTATATGCTAATAATTCTTCACTGACTAACAATTATGTCTTTAATTTTTGTTTTTTATTCATTTTTTTGTACATTTTTCATTAACCTTTAAGTACACTTCTAATTAACTTTAAGTTTTTGTATGTTGAATATTAAGCATACTTTTGTTATCACTTATGTTTGCTTTCAATAATGATTAATTAACAATTTCTATGTTTAAACTAATCTGATCCATCTTGTCTTTGCATGCCTTTCATTCTAATTAGT